GGAGAAGCAGTGGATCAATATTGATCCTGAGATCAACAAGAAAGAGGAAGTGAATGGTTTCACAGCAGTTGGGGAAGGAAACATGGTTCATCAGTTAGACCAATTGATGTCAATCGAGCCGGCTATAGATATATCATCACAGCAATCTAGATCAGAAAACGATGACCAGGCTGTGAAAACTTGTGGTCATCTTAGCGTTGATCAAGAGAGAAACAGCAAAGGTTTAGGAGAAGCTGAAGAAGGAAACATCCCAATCGCTTTAGACCAAAGTGAGAATTTGAGATATGAAAAAGATGATCAAGTTCACATTGATGCTCCGCTTCTTTCTGTTGGATACGAGAGTTATGCACCGATAAGATCAGAAGAAGAAGATGTAGACTGGTTCCAAGTTTTTGGATGGCGTGTGGAAGAAGGTAACAACTTGCTTCTGATCGATGATCATGAGTCTGTTCTAGATTCTTCCTCGGAGAAGCAGCCGATCAATGAAGCTCATGGTGATGAATCAGAGAATTTGGGAGCTGAAAAGGTCAATGATGCTCCTCTTGCGTGTCTTGAATCAGCACCAGAATGGCTCAAAGTGTTTGTGGAATCGTTGTTGAGAGAGGATGGACCGGGTTTGCTTGTGGAAGAAGATGAAGAAGAGCTTTTGATTCACAATGCGCCATGTTTGTATCAGGACTTGTTTCATCAGTTTGCTGCTCTCTGCCCCACAAATACCTCTCAAAATTCTTGAAGAAAACAAAGGATTATGCGCTCAATGTTTTACATATATTGTTGTTGTTGTTTGAAAAAGACATATGTAGTAGAACTAGAACTAGAAGTAGTTGTATTACTCACAAAAACTGCTCAACATCAGTAAGAAAACTATATTTTTTTGAATTTCAGAATAAATCTTACCAAATTTTCTTTGACAGAAGCTGGATATTTTCTTTCTTTCTTTGTCTTAACGAGAATTTGAAATTTTCACATGAATGGATTTGCTCTCATCCAAAGTCCAAACCAACACATTCCTTCATAAAGCCTTTCATAGAGTATTTTGGGCCTAATTTTTATAATTGGGCTGAAATCAAACCAAGCCTTATTGTCATTAGCATTTAATTTCATATATTATTTTATAAAATAAAAAGCATTTTAGCTTCTCTCTATCAGACAGAATATTAAGAGCATATAAAGATGCTGACAGACACACTTAAAAACGCTGTCGTTTCAAACGTATTTTTCTTTAAAATTCCAGAGAAAATTCTTTTTTCCACCTTTTCTTTTTATTATCTGTGAG